TTTTTTTTAACGAAATATCGACATGATTGAGGATATGGCACAAGGGTATATATAAATATAGCCTAAATGTTTGATTTATAAAGGTGAAAGTCCTAATAATGTGAAACTGATAAATAACGACGGGATTTTAAGGAATCGAAAAGGGAGGGAAAGGAATGAATTTTGAGGTCTATTCTGTACAAGACCAGAAAGCGACAGCAGCGGAGTCCGGAAGTCGACGTTGTAGGGTAAGCCGGGAGACAACTCCAGCTAGCCCATTGCCCCACGTGTCACCTACCTTGCGCGTGTTCCTGTGAAAGCAATAGATGGCGCTGCCTCAACCGCATCCAGTTCAACCCTTCCACCCCCCTCTCTCGTGTCTTCAATCGTACCCACGATGGGATATAACAGCTGCCCACAATTAACAAAATAAAATTGTAAAAAAAAAAAAAGAAGGGATATATACCATATTGCACGTATGAAATTACTAAATGATCTTTAATAAAGTAACATAAAAAATAATTTTATTAAAAATATTTTAATAAATTTATAAGTAAAAGTGTAGTTTTACATATGTTTTTTTTTTTTTTTCATTTTTGTCATTATATATATAGGCATTTCATTTTTCTTTGTAAGTACATTATTTTTAGAAAATAAAAAGATTAAAGATATTTTGACACTAAAACTATTAGAACAATCAGTTAAAATCCTAAAATAATCACAAAATAAGTAAGATATAAGACAATGATTGGTACATATTATGATTTAATATACTACACAACACATTTATTAAAAAATCATTATTTTTTAATTTAAAATTAAAGACAAATAAGTTTAAAGATATAACCATACACACAAAGTATAAGAATCAGTTAAATTGATTATATTTATATTATATTTTTAATTATTGAACTAAAAGTGTACAAAAAAAAATGTTGAACTGATGATAGATATAGATCATTTTCATAAAATATAATATAAGTCTTAGGTCTAGTTAAGATTCTACCTCTTGAATTTTTTTTTTAATTGAAAAAATAAAAAAGTGTTTATAATTTGGATTGCAAGATACTAAATTCTAAGAAAAATGTTAACAAATCAGGCAATCTTACTGGTGAAACCGTGAACTTTGCCTCTGACTCCAGATGCACTTTAAAACGCAGCCATAACTACAAGCGCTACGAGTTCTTATTTTGCATATTGCAAATGGATACAATTGTACAATGTGGTATATGTGGAATTGTAGATCTCTATCGGTATGGGGGAGTCAGTACACACTCCACCAAAACAGAAATCATTAGTTAGGAACTAATATGTGAGTACAAATTTGTATACAATCCACTACGTTCTAATCATTTTAATATTGATGAAATATATTTTATACATTTTAATTTCTTATTTTAACCTTAATTTTGTTGATATTTGAATTAGTAGAATGTGATTTTTAATTTATTTTACATAATTTTTATTATTTGTGCCAAAAAAAAACTTAAATGTATGATAATTAATAAAGGTTTCTGGACTTAAATTATTATTTTTTGAAAGTTGAGGTACTTTATGATGAGACGACAAGATGTAATCAGGGATATAAATGAATAAATTTGAAGTTATTGGATTAAAGTATGCAATATGTATAAGCTGGAGGACCCAATTTGCTGTTTACCATTGAAAAAATTGTAAAAATGGGACACCCCACCCGCTGCCGTAGCGACGCCAACTTCATAGGTGTCTAACACCATACTTAAGACTTTCGTCGGACCCAAAGCAAAAGGGTCGACATAACATGTGGTCTGGAAATACTTTAAGCATTTTTAAGCTTTTATGATTTTTATTTTTGTCACGACTCCCACTTATTTTCCAACTATGTTTTCATAAATTTTATAAATATTCCTTTAAAACTAAATTTTAGATATATACTATGATTATAAGTCTAGATTTAGTTAAAATTTCACCTCTTGATTTTTCTAATAGGAAAAATTAAAGAGTACTTTATAATTTAAATTACAAAAGGGTCCTTTGATAAAGCTTATAAAGTATTATTCTTTCTTGTAAATTTAGATTTTATTAGAAGGAAACACTTAAAATTAACTTTTTAAATTTATTTTAAACAATTTTTTTTTTAAAATAAATGTATAATTTTTTTAACTTTTTTTAAACTTCTTTTTAAAGGACTTTTTAATTTTTTTTTTACAAAATTTTTAACTTTTTGAAAAAATAATATTTAAAAAAATTCACACATGCATATAGTTAATTTATATGAGATAGGCACCTTTCTTCTCTTTGTATAGGATCTGATATTAATAATTTCACATATTTAAGTGAATTGACTTACACACAATTAATAGAATTAGCATAACTGTGTTGGAGTTCTTCAGTCTTCTAAATTTATATACAAAATGTTTTTTTTTTTATTAAATAATAAATTATATAATAAAAAATTTTAACTTACATACTTTAATATAAAAATTTGAATTTGTAACTTCGTCGCCTAAAGGACATAAATAACTAAAGTGTTTAAGTAGAAGTCGATCCTCCACTGCTTTTCTTGCTATTACCCAAAAAAACTACAGTGTGTTTAAGTACGTATTTAAAATTTAAAATACTAACGTGAGAATTAGTAAGTGTACTTTTCCCTTCCATTTTCAGAAGGAAAAGTGAGCATTATTGCATTAGGTTTGTTAGGAAAGTCATGTTGATTAAACTTTTCTTTTCTTTCGAGCATTGCATCAGTCCAACTCTAAATTTCATGCACAAATGGAATCTTCCTTCAGAACCATATGTGTAAGTCTCTTTTTTCTCACATTTATTAACCCACTCTTCTGATGTGAACCAAAGATTTTAACATCAAATTCCCTCAAAATCCGACCCGTCAACTTGATCGTGTTTATCCTTTCTTTTTATTCTTACTATTTACCATCTTCTTTTATTTGTCTGCAAGATTGACTTAGCTTCTTTCTTTTTAAAAAATAGACATAGAAAGGCAAATTGTCCAGTGTATATGTATCCACGGGTAGGAAACACGTGAGGGCACGATGTCCACGAAAGAGAGACAAAAGTTCGATCTACTTATTTCTATTTGGGGTAGGAGGAAAAAGTCTTGAATCAAATGATCTTTGAATTCCTCAGTCTAGACACTTGTGAGCATGCCCACAGTTTTTTAATATTATGAAAGAATGGAAGATGATTTAAAGTTGTGCATCCTGCCTTTGACGTGAGTAATGGGGACAGTAGTTCAAAAAATGGTCCAAATTTTATCCTACTTCAATAATCTTGGGGCATTCATGGATCAAAATATACCCATTTGAATTTGTACCACACACTCTGTTTCATCTAGTTCAAATACCCATTTCAATTCAAGAAACTCAGGCTCAAATCATACATTGAATGACATAATTCATTTGGTTGGGGCAGAAAATTGAAAGCGTAAGTAGGAACATATGGGCGATTCGAATTTGTTACTCAATTTCAAATCAAGATTTTTAATAAGGATTTAATTCAATTTTTAGTCTATTAACTATTAATTTCATTTCATTTTAGTTTAGGAAGTTTATTTTTTTTCTAAATGATTTATAAACTTTGGAGAATATTTCAAAATAATTTATCGAACAAAATTTTATTAGATTTGACAGAAAGAGTATTCTTTAAGTTTTGAAAAAGTGACATTATAATTCTAATAAAATGTGATGACTCAAAAAATATTTTATAAGGATAGATTAGTTAGAATTTGTAATAAACTTGAGTAACTAGCTCAATTTAAACAGAAAAACTTAGTAAGTTTAAAACGAAAAGTTTTAAGAGTAAATCTATTTTACATGGCAGATTGTATGCATATTCTGTAAAATTATTTAAATGTTAAAAAAATATAAAAATAAAATTAAGGGTATTTAAATAATTTTACAAGATTGACTGCATACAATTTGCTCTACAAAACAATTTTTTTAAAAAAAACATTTAGTAAAATGATAATAAAAACTATTTTTACTGTGAATATAATTTAATAACTAAAAGATCAAAAGAAATATAGTTAATAAATTAAATATTTTCTTATAGGATAAGAAGATTCGTTAAAGATAACGGATATTTCTGTTAAAAATAATAGACAAGATGAAATTGAAATAAATGTGAAAGATAATATACAAAATTCAAAGAATTCAAAGATAATAAATGAAACTGAAAAGAAAACGAAACTTAATAGATGATTTGCTAAATTAACTCTTTTAATAAGTATTACTTAAATATAACTTTATTGCATGAGAATAATTGAACCAAGCTGCTCATAAGTAACTCGTTCCAAGCTCAGCTCGGGCTCAACACCTTAGTTATCAATTTAGCTTATTTAAACTTTTAAAGCCCTACTTCACTGATAAAAAAATAATATTAAAATAAAATATAAAATATAAAAAATAAAAAAGAAAGCGTGTTTGATACATTAGATAATTGGATTCATACAAAAATAATATTTATTTCCTTCTAATAATATATCCCTCGTCATGTATAAGCCGAATTGAACATCACATCTCTAACTTAAAAATCCTGAGTTGAGACATCCTGACATTATTTGCATAACTTCTTTCAGTGAGAAATTGTGTTTAGATGGAAAAAAGTAGGAATGCAATGGAAAGAATGAAAACAAAGTAAAGGTCGGTGAAGGATGGGCCGAAGGAAACCTCCATATAGTCACCATCACTGACCCAACAATTTCCGTTACTTAATATCTGAACCAAACTTTCTACTGATGATGAGCAACTGAGAAAATAGAAACAGTGCAAAATGGAAACTGGAAGGGAACCGAATATTTACACATTTTATAACACGTTAAGGTTTATGTATAAATAACAAGCATACATACATTCAATGGTAGAGATACAAAGTGGTATTCGGCGAGTGAGGGGAAATTTTTTCTGGGGAGGCGAACGAACCATTGCCGCCTGCTTTCTTCCTTGCTCTTCAAAGAATCCTCCTGAAAATTGATGCAATTCTGTTTCACTTGCCTTCAGGGTCTTCTTTTATGGTCATGTCTGCCATTTCAACTGCATTAAAGCCACTGTCATCAATGGCTATGGTGGATTGTGAATCAAAGCCAGACCCTGTTTGTATTTCCTTGAACTTTGCCATGACGTCGATCATGGTTGGTCGTTTCCAAGGTCGATCTTCCAAGCATGCACAAGCTACCCTTAGGTGTTGTTGAAGCTCAATCTCAAGGGTTGGATCCTCCTTCAGGAGCTCTGGATCAAAAACATCGCTTACTCTCATCTTGGCATGCTGCTTTACCCACCCAACAAGATTATTGTCACCAAAATCGGTTGAATCTGTTGGCTTTTTCCCTGTCAGCAACTCGAGCAAAACTACACCATAACTGTAGACATCACCTTTGGTGGAACATTTAAAGCTTTGGTAGTATTCAGGAGGAACATAGCCAGGGGTGCCGGCTAATGTGCTGACACTCAAATGAGTGTCCATTGCACTCATAAGCCTAGCCATTCCAAAATCTGAAACTCTAGCCTCCAAATTTTCATCCAGCAGGACATTGCTAGACTTCATGTCTCTGTGAATTATATGTGGATTACAACTATGGTGAAGAAAAGCCAAACCTCTAGCAGTCCCAAGCACTATCTTCCTCCTGGCTGCCCAATTCAGCTTGATCCCAGCTTTGTTCTGTTCATGTAGAACATCGTCTAAGCTTCCATACTTCATGTACTCATAAACCAGAAGTCTTTCTTCTCCTACCCTGCAGTACCCCAGGAGAGGAACCAGGTTCCGGTGCTTAATCTTCCCAATAGTTTCCATCTCAGCCGTGAATTCCCGATCACCCTGTCCACTGATGTGTATCAGTTTCTTGATTGCCACAACACTTCCATCTTTCAGTTGGGCCTTGTATACATCACCAAAACCACCAGAACCAATAAGGCTGTCATTGTGAAAACCGTTAGTAGCTTCAACAAGGTCGGCAAAGGTGAGCTTCCTGAGAGGCTTCTCAAATGTGGCAAGGTTTATGCTCAATGCTTCCCGGGCACAAGTGATCTTCCAGTTAGTGGTTGCAGTGCCAGAGTGAGAATTGTTTTCAATATAAACATCAAGAGCAGAATCCTTCTTCTTCCTTCTTTTCTTAGTCTCAACAGCAACTATAATCAAGCCGAAGATGCAGAAGAGGGAGAACAACAACCCCATTGCCACACTCCCAGCAAGCGAAGCCAGTCTGCTGTGTGATTTCCGGTGCTGACTTTGTGATGCTGGGTCTTTTTCACAGGGAGAAAGAGGATACCCACAGAGACCTGTGTTATTGGCATAGTTGGAAGGAGTAAATGTCTCCAGCTGACCCATTCCAGGAATGGGACCGGTAAGATAATTGTTGGACAAATCAATCTGAGTAAGCAAGGCAAGATGAGTCATGGATTGCGGGATCGCCCCCTCCAACATGTTGTGAGAGAGATCAAGAATTCCTAGACCCATCAAGTTACCAATCTCCTCCGGGATTGATCCAGAGAAGTTGTTATGCCCCAAATTCAAGATAAAGAGGTCAGGCATTGTGCCAATTTCCTGTGGAATACTGCCTGACAACTTATTGTAAGAAAGATCAAGAAAAATCATGGACCCGTTATTGTTGTATGTGGGCTGCGTGAGACCTTCATACACTCTGGTGAAGTTGCAGGGGTTCCGAGAAGAAATTCTATCCAGCTGTTCCTGCCTAATTCCGGAAAATTCCAGCAAATTTCCCGATCCATGACACTCTTTGCTTCCATCATTCCTGACATACATATACTTCTTCCCGGAAATGAAATTCACCGCAATTTTACCAGACTGTCTGAACAGGACGGGTGGAATCGTCCCACTCAAAGCATTGGTATTCAGATCCAACCATATCAGGCTCCGACAATCTCCAAGCTCCGGCGGAATACTGCCATAGAAGGAGTTGCCGCTCAGCTTCAGAATAGCAAGATTCGAAAGCTTCCCAATCCACGCAGGAATCTCACCGGTCAACTTGTTGTTGGACAACGCAATCCAATTCAACTTAGTGCAGTTGCTCAAAGCAGAAGGAATGGTTCCGCTCAGCATATTGAAGTCAAGAATTAGGGTCTCAAGTGTCTGAATATTACTCAGCTCAGGCGGGATTTCTCCTTGGAGCTGGTTCAACCAGAGCTTTAAATCTCGAAGCTTGGAGAGAGATCCAATGCTCGCTGGAATTGTTCCATTGAGGTAATTGAAGCTCAGGTGAAGGGAAACAAGCTGAGAACAGTTACTAAGACTCGCAGGAATAGGGCCAGTTAAATTATTATCCTGTAAAAAAAGCTCTTTCAAATTGTTTCTGGGATTTTGACACAAAGAAGCAGGGATCGACCCAGTAAAACTATTTGAACTGAGATCTAAGGTCTCCAAGGCCGTAAGGTTGGACAGCAATTCCGGCAAAGTGCCGAGGAAGTTATTAGAACCGAGAACAAGCTCCTTCAAGTTGCCCATTTGGAGGATTGTCTCCAGTGGCAGTTCACCGGATAAAATGTTACGAGAAACATCAAAAGACTCCAAGGAAGAGCAAGAACCAAAGCCACTAGGAATCGTACCGGTGAGATTGTTGGAAGACAGATCCAGCCGGACGAGATTCGAACAGAAATCCGTGAGATGCAGAGGAATCTCCCCTTGAAAATGATTGCCGGAAAGATAAAGGTGCTGCAAATCAGAAGAAACTGGGAGAGCCGGAATCGGACCCATAAACTGATTGTAGGAGATATTCAAGAAATTCAACTGGGTACATCGAGAAATTGCAAGGGAGATGTTGCCAGAGAACTTGTTTGAAGAGATATCGAGATGTTCCAGAGTCAAGCAATCTCCAAATGAGGGAATCTCCGAGGAGAAATTGTTCGAGGAAAGATCCAAGAACTGCAAATTCTTGCAACCAGAAACATTAATTTCTCCAGTGATCTTGTTCCCCTTCAAAGCCAAGTATCTCAGGCCGTTGCAACCGCCATAAACAACCCAAGACACGACATTCGGACCAGAAATCTCGTTGTAAGAAAGATCAAGAATTTCCAAACCCAGCAGCAATCCCCTCGATTCTTTCCCTGAAAAATCAAGCAAATTGTTTGATAGATTCAGGGACTTCAAATTCGAGCAGGAACCCAGGTAAGACAAACCAGAAACAGGACCTGACAAGCTGTTATGAGATAGATCTACGCTGTCCAAAACGGAGCTGCACTTAAATCCAGAAGGGAAAGAAATGGAGCCGGAAATGTTGCCGGAAACCAAAGACAAAGACTGAAGCTTCTCAAGAACCAATAGATAACTCGACACAAACTGGAAATCAATGCTCAAAGGAATGGAAAGGTCTATAGAGGAAACTCTGGATTCTTGACATAAAACACCAAAAAACTGACATGGGTCTCGGTTAAACTGCCAGTTCTGAAGCAAAGACGTGTTGGGGAGATTTTCTTTGAATTTGATCAGTAACTGGATGTCTCTGTTTTCCGGCGAAACTTGAAGAGAGAGAAAGACAGCAGAAAATAAAGACAGAACGAAGATAGAGAAAGAAGGAAAGAAAGTTGCCATCTTTATGGGTGTTACAAGATGAAAATGAAAGAAGCAGGGCGTTTAGGATTTGAAGGCCGCCATTACAGGGAGAAACGAGAGCTTTGAGCTCTGGTTTTGGCGGAGAAGAGGAAAGAGAAACAGCGGTGTCAAAAAGACAGGGCAAGGAAGGGAATTAGGGTATTTAACAGTTGAGGAGTGGACGCCACGGACACCAGCTGTTGCTCACATGCCATGTGCCATTCTGATTTTCTCTCTCTATAAACCCCCCATGAAACCAAGGCTTAATCTCGGCTTAATTAATTGTGTGTATGTATCCCATGACCTGTTAGACTGTTTCTGTTTCTGCTTGTTTCCTGAGAAAAATAAAATTTTTTTCTTTTTCTTTTCTCTATCTAAAAACAGTGAATTTTGTCTCTCTAGCTTTTGAAAGCGTACGTGTGATGAAGGAAGGATTGATCTATCACTGTCAATCAATGAAGATTCTTCGGTGTTTTAATTAATCAAATTAAACGGGTTCTTTTTGTTCACGAGGATTATTAAATCAACTGGATTTGCTATTTTCTCTTTCTAAAATAAGTCGAGCACTCCTTTTATCACATAGGAAGGAAAAGGCTATGACCGGAAGAAACCAATGCCTCTCTCTTCATGCGTTTGCCACGTTCTCTCTCTTTAAACAAATAATTGCAGTTTGGCTGCATTAACTTGAAATTAAAAAAAAAAAAAAGTTTAAAAGATTTTTTAACTTGCGTTGTTAGAAGATAGTAAAAAAATACAA